GGACTTACTAATGAGCTTCCCTTACAACTTGACCTTCACCAAGCATGAAAGTTAATCCATTCACTTTTTTCTTCTATACGGCATTCCTTTATTGAATTATTTCTTTAGATAATTTTATTCTTATTTTCCTCGTAACCACTATCTTTTTGCTTTTACTGCTTGCACAGCTACGTGAGACAGCAGAAGATCGCTGCGCAAGCGCTGATCAAGAATTGAAACGAATAGATTCCCATATAGATTTGCTATATAGCACTATATCGAGTATCATGTATGCAATCACGGGGGAGGAGAAGAAATCATTGAAATCGCTGCTGGCCAAAGCGGAGCTGGTAGGTCATCGTGTAAACTTGCAAGCAGTTGTAAATTAATTATGAATCAAGTCTCTTGCTTGGTAAAGCAGAATGCTATAAATATTATTTTATTAAATTTACTTATGTGGCCCTATTATTTTATAGGGTTGGCTAAGATATATTTGTATCTAAACTTTAGAAACTTGCTAAAATATGCATTAAATTACATGAGTAAAAATACCATCTTACTATTTTCCTTAGCATTCACATTGGTATTAGACACATAACCGTAAGGAAAAAAGAAAATCCATTCAATTTATGGATTCGCTTTCCTCAATGATTCATTTAAAAAAGATGTGCGTCCAAATATATTTGTATATAGCTGTCCTAAATCAAAACTAAATTTTATTCTAGTTAGTGACCATTATCCTAATAAATTTTGAGCCAAGTCACAGCGACTTAAATGAACATGTAAATTATACCTGAGTTCGGTCAAACAGAAAAAGATAGAGTGTGTATTAATTTGATTAAATAATAAAAGCAAGTTTAAGGTTATAAGCCGAATTTATACTCCAGTGCAGAGACAGGAGATTTAAGAAGTTGATTTTTAAAGCTGATAGCAACGCTCAAAACTATGAAACTAAATTTAAGTGAAATGATATAATGAGTCATGTATTAGTCGCTTCCGATTATTGATAGATTAAATGATTAGCTATTACTAAATTTAGTGTTATGATGAGTTATTTTGGAAATATTCGATTAAGGAATTTGTGAAACATTTAATTTTAAATACGTTAGAAGCAACTTCGATAAAAGTAAACTAGATGTTAGAATGTGCCATGTGTCCTACACAAATTAAATAGATAAAATATAATAAAGTTTAATGTTTCTTTGTTAAATTATCTTTATTGTATCAAACCGTAAATTTTACATCAAAATAAACTTTACCTGCAATTTTATTATAAATTAACTGTGATTATTGTCTAGACACACATTCAAAGAATTATATATCACCTTTATTGCCTTATCCAGACTGTCTTACTACCTTTTATTATTTCACATAATTCTTTGAATATGTATCCCAGGAAGCCAGGTTAGCAGAAGAGAAGCAACACTTGGAGCATTTAGAAAAGGAGGCTAGAAGACGCATGGATGAGGTAACGGCAAAACTCAAGGAACTGGAGGCCCTTAAGCAAGTAACAGAGTCCGCTGGTGCAAAGCAGGGGGTAGGTATCTGAATTTGGATAATGTCTTTCGTTTGATTGCACCATTAATTTAAACCCAAAGCAATTTACATATGCATAAAATGAATTGCATTTGCACTCAAATAATAGTTACTATGACATTTCAAAAATACCTTTCAATTTCGCTGCTAATTGTCTGCTCGCTATCTTCATATCTTGCATCCAAAATGTTTTCTTATCATGCAAGCAAGACGTGGT